AGTTTGTTTGTTTTTGTCCAGAAGTCACTAAGTGACATGATGGCCCCTCCCTGAGTTTAGGCTGTAGTGTGTTGGTGCAAAGACTGTGAGACAGGGATGCCTTGCTCACAGACCCTCATGCCTCACACTAGCATCTCAAGCTATTGCAGAGACGAAGAGACCTATGGGTTCAACACACTGTGAAGGGAGACTCTGCTCAGTGGTCTGTCTATCTGTGTACTGAGAACCCAGAAGCAAGGGAATTTCATGACGAGAATGTGGATTAGCTATCATTTCTTCTGTTCAGATGTTGAGCACTGACAATGATTGGGACATTGGAATAAAGCAAAAAATAAAACAGGAAAGATCTTAATGGAGAATGGACTCCCGATAAGTATGCCCATAAATAAATTTCAAAACTAATACCATGTTAAGTATGAGGAAATGATGTGGTTAACTATTAGCAAAATAGGGTGACGCCATGGTGACCAGAGGGATGGGCTACCTTAGTGGTAGGGCCAGTGAAGGCTTCTGCAGAACTGGCAATTGACTCAATACTGAAAGTCAAGAATCAAGAACATTCTAGAAGAAAGGAAGAGCAAACACAAAGGCTTGAAGTCGGGAATGGATTCGAAAGGGTCTTGCCTTTGCATTTTTACTTATGGCAGTAGAAACTCTAGAGAAGTGACTAGTTATTTTATATATATATATATATATATATTTTTTTTTTTTTGGATTTTTCAAGACAGGGTTTCTCCGTAGCTTTTGGTTCCTGTCCTGGAACTAGCTCTGTAGACCAGGCTGGCCTCGAACTCACAGAGATCCGCCTGCCTCTGCCTCCCGAGTGCTGGGATTAAAGGCGTGCGCCACCACCGCCCGGCTAGTTATTTTATATTTAAGTTATTATAGAGGGGTGAGTAACAGCCTTAAGGTATGGGGGAGGCGACCTGCCCACAAAGCAAATTCCTGTGAGTACATAGTATCAGGTGCTGGAGGCACTAATGACCTCTTCCTAATGACAGCTTCCAGCATCTCCCACTCTCCAAAGGTTTTGCTTAAGATGAAGGGGAAATTCCCATGTCTCCGAAGGCTAGAGTCTCAAAGAGGGATGGTGTGTGGCACCTTAGGCATGAGGGGAGATGTCAGGGGAGGGGGAAGGAGAGAACACGTGTGTGAGGTAAGCCATGAACAGAGTGACCTGAGACCATTGTAGGACTTCACAGTGGGGATCAAGGGCTGGGACGCTGAATAGCTAGTGTCATTAGCTCAAGAACCTGAGGCACCAGCTGCCTTACCCTTCCAGACTATTCTTATACGCAAGCCAAATTGCCCTCTGTGGTATTAGGAAACAGCTCAACGTTGAGCTGGGCCAAAGACCTATATCACTAGCATCAGATGAAAGAAGAAAAAGCTGGAACAGACGTGGTATAGAATTGCAAGAACCCACCTCCCTAGGGTCCTTTAACTCATTCTGGCATTGTGTCAGCCCCAGATGGAAATCTAGCCTGCTGGTAAGCAGATCCCCAGCAATGGAAAGACAAGGAAACCTCACTGGGATAAATCTCCTTTCCCCTGGGATAGTCTACAAGCCGGAAACTCGGTCAAAGATTAATTTGATGGCTTAAAACGGGCATCCGTGCTGACAGAAGGCAAGGTTTCATGTAATTAGTGCACAATAAAAAGCAATGATGGCAAAGTCCATGGCTTTGTGCAGTTCAACACAGTGCACAGAGGAGGAGGTGATAGATTCATTAAAATCTCTGTTTTATTTTTCGTAAATTTTAGAAACTAACCCCTCACCGCAGAACTTGAAAGACCCAGTAAATAGAGAAAGAACTTTAATAACGGGGCTAAATAAGCAAAGGCAAGAACAGTCTGGTGATCCCAGGCCCCGAGTTCATAGAGCAGCATGTCCCAATATCACACTCGGTGCTGTGATATCGGGCAAGCCACACTGCATGCAGATGGGGAAAAGAGCAATACGATTGGGAGAATTAAAACCAGAGGCAAGCGGTACTCTCCGAACTTCAGTATTCTCCTGTGAAAAATGGGCAAAAACAAGGGAGAAGGACCTCACAGCTCACCGGGGGGACAGAATGGGCTTCAGAAACTTGAACGCACCCCAAGATGTTATGATTAATATGGAGTTTGGCTGCCAGGCACCACATTTAAAATTGTCGAAAGGATGAGCAGGCCTCCCCTCTTTCAAAGAAGAAAGTGCTATTTACATCAGCATTGCTAAGCACAGAGAATTTTCTAGGAGCCAAAAGGAATCTACAATATGGAAATAAATTTAGGTTGTCTTAAGGAAGGAGACAATGCTCTGATTCACCTTAGCTACAGCGTTGCTATAGTAACAACAGCTTTGAAATCCCATATTTTACATATTTTATTAGTATTATTTTACCTAATAGCTTCCCCAAATCTCCACCCCACAGTGCAGCCCAGCAAGGAGCAGGAGGTAAACCCCATGCCATGTTCCATTGCCTTTGCTTATTCTTCGTTGCTTTATAGACACCACTAACCGGTTCATAAGCACCTCCACTAGGTATGCTTGGTTTTTAATTAGCGGACACTCGCTTCGGGATCTGATTCTTGCCAAAGTTGTGCACCTCAATTAAAAGGCTCTCCCAGATGTTCCAGGACCGCCCAGATGTTCCAAAATATAATTAAAAGTCTTGAGATGAGGCTTCACAGAGTATTTCTGACATTTGGTTTCGAGTGTTTTTCCATCTCACCGAGCTCAGCTCAAGTGGATGGGGTTCCAACTTGTTGGGTGGAACTGGAGCAAAAAGTCTATAGAAGATGGAAAACTACGCCTGGCTCAGACAAAACAAGTCTTACTTAGCATAACTGGAGCTTTTGTTTCTCTCTTTTTCTTTTTTCAATGCTAGGGATCTAACCCAGGGCTTATACACTCCAAGCCACCACTGAACGATCCCTAGCTCTGCCTCTTCCTCATCCTTCAGTTGTCCACCGCTCTCAACAGTTTAACTCTTCTTGATAATTCACTGTGGCTTTAATTTTCCTACCTCAGGGAATCCCATAGCCTGAATTGTATTTGTAGAGTGTAGACACTAGGCAAGGAAAGATACCAAACGGGTCTTTCTTCGTTCCGCCATGGATCGCCACTGCTTTCAGCGGGGGCATGCGTAGCCTGGTAAGGGCACGCAGTAGCACGGAGCCGCACAGAGAAGTCGGCCAGCTGCTCAGTGACTCTTCTAGATTCTAGGATTTAGCTCGCAACCTTGTAGGAGAAGGAGCAGATTTTCAGGGGTGCCAAGTGGAGAAAGAGTAACCATGAAGTCAGATTACAAACAAACCATTTCTCTAATACTTTCCATATGATTAAGTGCCTTTTAGATTTAATGCTTTTTTTTTTTTTTTTCAAGACATGGTCTCATACAGCTCAGGCTGGCCAATGTAGCTAAGGATTGCTTCAGGAGCTCTTTCCGCTCCTTCAGCCTTTAAGATACCAGCTCACTTGGGCATTGTCTCCCTGACTTGAAAAAGTAGCGCTCTCTCTCTCTCTCTCTCTCTCTCTCTCTCTCTCTCTCTCTCGCCTTGGACATCGCTTCTGGCTACCAGACGCTTTTCCTAGACAAAGGATGGCCTTGAATGCCTAATCCTAATGGCTCCATTTCCCAAATACTAGGATTTCATACTCAGCTGTCTTATGTATTTTAAGGCCCACTAGTTCCTTCATTCTGTGCCGGTTACTGGCCTCATTTCATTGAGCACTCCCCGCAAAGCCAGAGGCGGAGCAAATGCCTACACTCTCTTTGCTGCTAATATTACTCCTCCCAGCACTCCTCTCGGGCACCTGCCATTCCCATTGCTCTCTGATGTAGAGGAAGGAGACTTTCAAAGATGTCAAACCATTTGTTTCACATTCCTTTAAATAGCAAATAGACCTCCAGACGATAATTAGGACAAGGAATCGGACCCGGATGCTTAAGGCCCCCAGCTAAGAGAACACTTCTGTTTCCCTTCGTAAAGAAGGAAATCTCAATAAGACTGTATCACAGTGTGCTGGCCGCAGCTCTTCTGCGGGAGAATGTTTAGATGAGCAAGGATTGCGAGGGTTTGCTCTGGACGGTTCCCTTTCCTACACGTCACAGCCCAATGTATCTTGGCTGGTCCACCATTCACACTGATCTATATTATCTATAGCTGTGCTGTCCCATAGGACTTCAGCAGGTCCTGAGTCTGCTTTATCCCGTGTAGCAAACACTGTCCGTACGCGGAACCCTGAAATATGAGTAGTGCCACTCCTGAGCCAGCTCAGCTTATCTAAGTCCAGGTGTCTAATGTCACAGGTAGAATACTTTTACTGGAAAGAGAAAAGGAAAGGGTAACAAGAGGCAGCTTGTCATATTAGGGAGATGGGAGAGACCCAATCCATCTTTTGTTAGGAGACTTCTGTGTGAGTCTTACTAGGAACAAAGGTTTCCTGGAGCCACTAATTAATTGTTCATTTTTCCAAACATTTTATTAGCATATGTTGATTATAAGTAATCATAGATTGCCTTTCACAATCTTCATGTATATATATATACATAAAATGTATATAAAATGAAATTTTATCATTTGCCTTGCCCATCACTATTTCCATCCTCTCCCCCAACATTACTGAGGATACCTCAGTTAGCTTCTCTTTTACTTTCTGTCTTTATTTACTGAGCTGCTTACGGGGTCCTGCCTATGGGCTGATTTACAGAAATTGGAACTCCTGAAGAAAATCTCTCGGCAATCAAGTGCCTAGAAAGATTCAGGGAGGAGCATCCTCTGCTCAGCTACCATTCCCTACCTATAGGTCCTGGGTGAGCACAAGGGCCCTTCTCCTCCATCCTCGATGAGGCTGATCCAGTCCCATGGAGAGTCTCTGCTAGAGATCTCAGCTGCTGCAGGATCAAGAGGACAGAGGTGGGTCCTGTTCCTGGCACAGGTTTCTGCCGTGTCCAGCTCCTTACTCCTGCTCTTATGTTCTTCTGACCCCATCTTCTGAGGTTCCCTGAGACCTCCAGAGACCGATGCAGGTATGCCTTAGCCTCTCAGCCACCCAATTTTGATTCAGAGCTCAGGTGCTAAAGTCTCAGCTTCAAATCCCTGTAAACCATACACAAATACTTAACCTCACTCAGTTGCTTCTCATCCTCTGTAAGGTAGGGTGGGAGAGCCCTGCGAGGTACGTAGGAGCAAGGATCGGGTGGGAGACTACGCAAATATGCTTTGCACACTTGCAAAGGCTGTGGGGTGCCCGCGATTGTAAAATGCATTACCTTTGTCTCTGGAATTTGCTTTCATGTTGATTAGCTCATGTTATCTTCCCAGCAGGCCTGTAAAGGAAGTAGGCAGGGATATTATCTATATTTTGCCATCTGTGAATACAGATAAATGGGGTTCACAGCACCTCAGACACTTAAAGTTACTAGCATGTCTGGTTGTGTTATGTCTGGCATTAAGCCTGAGCCTACTGGGTCCCCTGCTAAAGCTTTCTTGAAAACAAAACCAAAAATAAAAACAAACAAAACAAACCCAAAACAACAACAACAAAACAAAACAGCAAAGTCTTAAGATTGACATTCAGAAATTATAGGCAGAATTTTTAAAAGGCACTATGCCTGGGTGGTGGTGGTGCACACCTTTAATCCCAGCACTCAGGAGGCAGAGGCAGGTGGATCTCTGTGAGTTCGAGGTCTGCCTAATCTACAGAGTGAGTTTCAACACAGTCAAGGCTACACAGAGAAACCCTGTCTCAAAGGAACTGTGTCTCTTCAATAAGAAGCCAAGCTTCGAGTCCAAACAGTAACTGTAGTACCAATGCAGGGGCAACATGAGCTTGTACCATTTTCTATGCTTTTATTCAAATCAGTTATGACTATGAGTTGTGTTATTAACATTCTTCCTTTGAAAATTAGGAAATTGGGACTGGAGAGATGACTCAGCATTTAAGAATGCTTGTTGCTCTTGCAGGGAACCCAAGTTTGGTTCCCAGCGCCCACATGACTGCTTACAACCTTTTGTAACTCCAGTTCCAGGGGATGCAGCACCCTCTTCTGGCCTCTGCAGGCTCCAGTACACATGTGTTATCCATTCCTACATGCATGCTGGCAAAACACCAACAGACATAACATAAAATAGATACAATCCTTTTACTTTAAATGAGGAAATCAAGGCAGAAAATGAGTCAGGAATGCATTCATGGTTCACAGAGCGTATTAATGTTAAGAGAAACTGTATTTATTAGATTTGGGGGGGGGCTCTCTGCTTAAATATCACAAACTGTGGGGTTTAAACAATGGGATGTTTTAGCTTAGAGTTCTGAAGGCCAGAAGTCTAAAATCAGGGTGTCAGTAGGAGTGGCTGCTCCTGAGATTGCAGGGAAGGAATCTGTCCTAGGTCTTCCTATGTGGCTTATCAATGGCATCTTTTGTCCCTCTTCACTTCACGGCCCACCCACAAGGGTTCGTCTGCGTGTCTCTCCCTCTGTCTCTGTGTCTGCCAATTCCCCCTCTCTCCGATAAGGACAAAAGACATAGTGGACATAGTGGATTAACCCCATTTTGATGATCTCTTTATATAAAGGTAACCCTTGTGAACCTTATCTCTAAATAAGGTCACACTGTAAGGTCCTTGGGACTAGGATTTCAACAGACGAACCAGAATGTGGGTGGGACATAGTTCTCCACATAGACACAAACAAAGGTGGCCAGGTCAGTAGGCTCCCAGGGCTAACTGTGAAGTATTATTCTTTAATGCTCCTGACGTCATAAATGCATACTGGGAACAAATGAAAGATCCATAGTGTGACATTTGACTGCCAACCAGTATTGGAGGCAGTGAACAGAAATCTACCCTCTGAACGTTCTTAAACTGGGAAAGGGCTCCCCAAAATGTTTATCTAAGACACCAGTTTCCAGCTTACTAGGCGATTTGGCATGGAGGACTTTTCTCATAAACATTTACAAATATTCTGCTCGGAGATGAGGTTAATCAGTAAACCGTACAACCTCTGGCCCCTGTCACTTCTTACCTACTCTCCTTCTCAGTTGCCGCGAATAAGCCCAGGATGGTGATGCAGTTTCAGGGCTTAGAAAATCCGATCCAGATTAGCCTTCACCACAGCCACAGGCTGTCAGGATTTGTCCCCGACATGATGAACGTGAAGCCCTCTAAAGGTAGGAGCTTACTCAGAGATGTCATTGGAGACTCTCCTAGCATGCTGGGGAGATCTGGGGTCTTCTGTGAAGGGTTAAAGCCATAGGTCTTTGCCACAGGAAGCCCAGACAACCTGGGAAGACTGCGGATGGGATTGTGTTAGGTTGATTTTTGTAGTTCTAAGCACGCGAGTATCTTCTTGGGATATCTTCTTGGTGTTATTTTTTCAAGTGAGTCAAATGTTAGCACAAATGTCAGTGGACACTGTAGGAAAAAGTGTGCTGCTTAACGCCGTGTTTTTAGAACGCTGAGCCTCAGCCTCATTGAATTCTGACGCTTGGTCGGTGGCTTGGGGCCAGCCTGAAAAACTAGAGTAGACGAAAGCAAACATCAACGTACCTACCGAGAAGTAAAGATAAGCCTGTTTCGTGGAATTTTGAGTCAGTCACATATGTGGAAGTGTGTGTAAGGGTCATGATGAAAAGTGCGTTGTGGACTGTGGTATGCGGGAAAAAGTCATAACCAGAAAAGAAGAAATACCAATCTCATGAGCTAGTGTTGCCGCAGATTCCTCCTGGCAAATAAGAGAAAGAAAAATGAGACTTGGGTTTAGGATATTTATTTTCTCTAAACTAAAATATGCTTTATAATGACAAGACAGGATAATATAAATATTATCTTAGTATTTTTTCTCAAAACATAAATTCACTTTTTAAAGTTTTCGTTAAAAAATTAAATGCTAATCATTTCCCCGATAATTACTATGATGTGCATACTTCTGCTCATAGACCTGGTGGCCTCCCATTCTACTTAAGAGTGGTTCAAAGTGGCTGCCGCTCTATTTAGAAATAGAAATTGCTTGCATGGCTTGGGAAGCAAATTTTCCGTCCCCTTCTATTTAACAGCCGTTTATTAAATGTTTATTATGTGCCAGGCATTGTGCTGAGGGCCACAGATGATAGAAATGGGAATATGATCTGATATTTCCCTCCGAGAATGCACAGACTAACCTCCCTGACAGGAACAAACTGAATGTTTGCTTTATGCGGAGCAGGCAATTTACATTCCTCGTCTCAATCCTGCCTCGTTGCAGCGTTTGACATGGGAGCACACTGCTCTGGCTTTACGGAGGGAGAAACAGAAGCTAAAATAGGCCCAGGGTCTCCCCCAAGTCCGTAGATCTAGCAGTGTGTGGGTGAAATGAGTCCAGACCTGTCTCATCTGTGTGACCCAAACCGCCTCAGGCTCAGCGTGGGAGATAAGGCTGTGAACAAACACGAGGAATCACACATGCTTCCGATAAGCACTATATTAGGAGTGTGCACAGAGGTTAGGAGAGACTAATTATACCTGGGGGAACTGGGGCGGGCCTCAGCGAGGAGGTCATCAGCTGACCCTGCCGGGAGAAATACCTCCAACCCGAGAGACCTGGCTCCAGGAACGGCAAACAACTTCACAAATGAAGCCATGTCATTTGGCCGAGAAGCCACGGCTTAGGAAATAAGGAATACCACTAAAGCAAGTTCCTACTCAATTCAGTCCCCCAAATACGCCTTGGACGTGTTTGCTGTGATTACCATTGTGTCAGAAATTAGTAAAAGCAACTGAAAAAAAAAAATGGGGCCGGGCAGTGGTGGCGCACGCCTTTAATCCCAGCACTCGGGAGGCAGAGGCAGGCGGATCTTTGTGAGTTCGAGGCCAGCCTGGTCTACAAGAGCTAGTTCCAGGACAGGAACCAAAAAAAGCTACAGAGAAACCCTGTCTCGAAAATCAAAAAAAAAAAAAAAAAAAATGGGATCCTTTGTACCAGACACTGACACTACCAAAGTTGAGGGCAAGTGTCACCATTAACGTGTGAGCCTATTCTCTGTCCACAAACTCCCTAGAGATGTCCCACTGCATATGACAGTCGCCAGCCACATATGACTATTTAGTTAGACTTTTTAATGACTAAGAAGTAAATAAGTTTAAAACTCTCTTTCTTAGGATTAGTGACTGCGTCTCAAATGCTTGATATCCTCACGTGGCTAATGGCTGTCGTCTCCTAAGTACCGAACCTTCTTTCATCTCAGGAAGTTTCCTGGGTGAGAGTCTACGGAAAGCCAAGGACCTGGATCTGGAAGCTGGCTTTCTGGGATTTCTCAGACGCCCCTGGAGTTTATCAATGTGTCTCTATTTAAGAACGATTTCCTCAACTCTCGTGGGGTTTCTTGTCCAAGGACCCAAATTGTAATAGATTAAGTGCAGGGAGTTAAGATCTCATAGTCGGTTATACAGCAAAAGTTGCTCAGGTCCAGTCATTTAGAAAGCCTCCGGTGCTGTTTCTTCATCTTCACACAGTCTGTGTATTCACCACCCTGCCCAGTGGCTGTTCAGCAAACTGTAGAAGGATAGACATGGTTGTGCTTTGAGATTAGAAGCATTACTTTGTCTTACTGTATATTATTCTCATATTTTACTCTCTTAGCATAACATTATCTATAACCTTGAAATAGCTTTATATTTGTGCATATGTGTGTGTGCCCAGGCATGTGCCCATGCGCATGTGTGTGCATGCATGCACAAGGAGGTCAGAGGTCAACCTCAGGTGTTGTCCTTTAGGTAATAGCCTTTCTTTTGTGTGGTTGTTCAGGGTTTTCTTGTGACAGGGTCTCTCACCGGTGTGGGGCTTGTCAAGTAGGCTGCCTGGCCAGTGAGCTTCAGGCACTTCTTTGACTCTGAATTCTCAGTTGGGATTACTAGCAGTTCAGATTCAAGAAGATCCCTGGAGCCCACTGGGTTTTGTGGCTGACGTGGTTCTGAGGAATGTAGGCCCTCAAGCGTGTGTGGCGTGGCTGGCATTAGACTGCCTGGGCTGTCTCCAACTCCGCTTTGTGTTTAAATTTAGATGGTTGCAGGGAAAACTATGATATTGATACCATTGACTGACCTAAGCTGGGACTCTGTTGTTTCTTGATTATGGGAATGTTTGCTTTATTGAAATAACACTCAGCGACCTTGAGCCGTCCTGTGAAGAGACAGGGTTAACCATTTCCCTGGGTTCCGCAGAGTCCAGGTTCTGTTGTTAATTGGTTCTCTGACCTTGGACTAGTTGCTTAACTTGGTCAACCTGTGGTAAAAAGAAGCTGGGTTCAGGGTATGTGGGGGGCAGGGGCGAGTGGGGACTTGAGAGAACATAGTAGAAGTCAAAATCTAGGCACGAGTGAATCCAGTACTTTAACTTTCCAGTTCTTTTACATTTTATTTATTTATTTATGAAATTTTAGTCATATTTGGTAAAGAAATGGACTGGGATTTGGCTTACATTTTACCTTGAATAATTTCATACTTTATCCTTCTATTTTTTTTTTCTCACAAGACAAGGTGGCTTTGCCAAAATCCTGTTGTTTGTCGGACTCACTGTTTTTTTTTCTAGCTAATACAGACAAATCGGGAAGAAAACCGATGTTCGCAAAGATACCGTATATTGTGTGCTTGCTCGGTCATTTCCTGGGTCAGTGTAGAATGTGTTCTTAATATTTAATATGTGAGTATTCTGCTTCGCCATTGTAGGAAAGTGTGAATTCTAATATTCATAAAGAAGTCTTATGCTTATGAGATTTTTAGATAGAACGGACTAGAGGATCATAAATCCTTTCTTTATAGATGAGCAAAGGGAGGCCCAGGTAGGGTAGTAAGTAATGGTTTGGAGGCGCCATTTAATTAAATCAGAACCGTGACTCCTCGGATCTAGTCAGAGGAGAACACCCACGCAAAGCGGTCCTTAGAGTGATATTTGTAGCCAGGAGAAGACGAGGGTATGAGCTCTGGAACAGAGTAGCTAAGCCTAGGAAGCCGCCAGTATAGCGAGCATGCGCAAAAAGTCCTACGACCGGAAACAAAGAGGTATCCAAGAAACGGAAAAGCCGCAACATGGAAAAATGGCTGAAAGAGAAAGGACCACGCACGCTGAGCCTTGCAGGCCTGTTTGTATTTTATGTGCAAGCCAAGACTGCAAGCTCAAAGACAGAGAGCTCCCACGCTTTTCAAAGCATCTCGCATTTGACATCATTCCAGAGAGTCGAGTGTTTCCATGCGTGGCCTTTGAGGTCAGACTCCAAAGTCTAAATCCCAACTGCTTATGGTAGGAGTCAGAAGTAACGTCAGCAAAGGCATTCTGTCCAGAGATGAAAACAGCCCGGAGTTGTCCCCAGTGTGAAGGAGCAGCCCAGGGAACGCCTTTGGACCCAAGAGAAACAACGGCATCTCCTCCTGCTGTTGCAAGGAATAACGAGAACAGGCAAATGCTTGGTATTAGGAAGGAATTCATAAAAATTTCTGCTACTTACTAGTTATAATAACAATAACATCAGCCATTTGAGCGTTTTGAAGAACATTTTAAAGGTAAGGTGCAGAGGGTCCAAAATCCCTAAATCCAATTCCCAGTTTCTAAATTACTTGAAACCATTATTTTTCAAGCTCAGTGAGAATTTCTTTCGGTGGCCATTCCTGGACTGAAGGGTGTGAGACTCTAGTTGTTATTTATTCTGCTTTATGGGAATATTCATAAAATTTCACGGAAGAAAGCATTGCTGTGTTTGCTTCGTACATTCCGTACACCGAGTTCTACCCAGGGTCCTGAATACCACTGCCTTCTGTTCTGAAATCTATGAGACGTTCTTCTCTTTTGTCCGCAGTCCTGGGGATCAAACCCAGGCCCTTGCCCAATCAAGGGGTTCTATATTTTATTTATTTGCTTATTCATTTTATTGATTATAACTTGTGCCTGTGTGTATGCGCACACTCATGTGAGCGTAGGTGTAGGAGACCAGAAGTAGAAGTCAAGTGTCTTCAGAGGAAACACCTCTCTCCACCTTATTCTTTAATTTTCACGTTGAACTGGAGTTGTACTGTTCAGAGAGACTGGCTGCTCCGTGAGCTTCTGGGCTCCTCTTGTCGACACCTCCCTGGTGCTGGTGTCACAGGTGCACGCCACCGGGGCTTTATAGAGGGTGCTGAGCTCATGCCCCTCATGCCGACACAGCAAACACGCTACCCAGTGAGCCCGCTCCCCCAGAAAGCTTTACATTCTGAGACAGATTTGATTGTGTTTCCGACCAGGAGCTGTGACTCTATTCCAGTCAGCCATCAGTAGAGAGCTTTATTGAGAACTTTCCATCTCCAGCTTGAGGTGTCAACACTGGGTATCAGTGGTTTATTTGCTTCAAGTTCCACTGCTCAGCAGGAACGAAACTGGAATTGTACTCGAGGGTTTTCTGTCAGTGTGTTAAAAAAATCAGATATATTTACACAGTCTTATCTTTTACTTATGTCATTTTTTTTGCATAATTCAAGCATTTTGTTTTTTAAAGAGCATAGCTCGTGTTTCCAAATATAGAAGCATTTTCATACCTGCTAGTGTTTGTTACCTAGCGGCTTGATATTTAAGCATCTCACTTAATGACCATGCTTTTAGGGAGAGCCATTCCTCCTATTTTAATGGCACTTCTTTCACTTCCCCTTTAAGGACATACTTGGCCCGTATTTAACCCTTACAGCATCTCAGCGGCTACTGCATTTCCCCATTGTTTGAAAGCTATGGCTGCTAAGAAACTTCCCGTTTGCCCAGAGATTAAGAAATAGAACATGGAGTTGAATCCAGGTAGACTAAGGCTGCCAGGTAGTGCGTTCTCAAAGCTCGCTTCTATATTGCAATAATTAAAATAGCATGCCTATAACAAGAATCTCAAACAGTAAGAACATCGGGCAGTTTCTTACCCCAGAAAA